TTCGTGCCACACGCTGGGGTGGGGATGAGTAGTACTTGTTGGACGTGTAGCACGAAGTAGTTGCGCCCACACATGTGGGTAGTTCTAATGTTCGCCCACACACGACCCGTGTGGGCTGTCTCCTAATTATGTCACACATGGCATGTGGGCGGATCTCTAATATGCCACACATGTGGCAGTTATCAAGGTCCATAATTCAATAGATGGCATCGTGACCAAAATATGTTTGGTGTTAATAGTTGTAATATTTCTCTAGCAGCTGTTGCGTTTCGGCGTAGTCTTAAGCTTGTGCACCTATAACTCTATTTTTTTCTTAATTGTTTTTTTTAATAATAAAGCGGCTATTGCTTCTTCCCGCCCGCTCACCATAGTCAGTTCACCGTACAGTATTATTTTCAAGGTGGTACTAAAATTGTTTCCGCATAAAAGAATTCGTCTGTTACAACGCGTCGTTGTCTGGGCCTGGGCAGCGTCAATGCTAATGGGCTTTAGAAACCTCCTCTCACCTTCTGTCTTTTTTCTCTTCCACCCGAGCAAGGAGCAACGACACAAGCGCTTCTCTCAAACAGAAACCGCCATCTTTCCGGCCTTCCGGCCGGCGGCGCACCAATGCTCCGGTCACGCCTTTGCTCCTCTTCCGCCCTCATCTCTCGCCCCCTTCTCCTCCGCCCTATTTTTCCGACTGTTAGGCGCGACGACGCTAGCCAGCACTCCAGGACCTCGTCGTCGTCTCGGACTCGAACACGAAGCAGCAGGGCAAGAAAAAAGGGCGAGGGCGGAAAATATCTCCGGTTCCTTGGAGATGTCGGCGATGTCCTGGGCGATCCGGGCCTGCGCGGTCGAGTCTGGGGCGTCGACGACGAGCCTGGCTTCCGTGGATGCGATGAGCGTTGTGCCGGGGTGGCGGCAGGGGACCCGTGGAGGACGGGGCGCGCGTGCAGTGGGTGTTCGTCGGCTGCACCGGGGTGGGCAAGGCCACCGCTGGCCGCCTCTTGCGGCACCACGGCGTGCCCCCACATCGCCACCGGAGCTCTCCTCCGAAGGCCCCCCTGTCCAAGCAGGTATTCCAGTTCCTCGCACTCAATCCCGGGTCGTAATTGATAGTGGAAGAATTGGTAGCTAGAGACCCCCCCTGATGTTGACGAAAGGGAGCCTAAGGATAATTTTACCTGCAAGTGTTCCCCTGCATCAGCTACCAAATCGGCAACAATCATGGTGCTCTTAGTGTTGAAAGAGGGCTTAAATTTGTATGAGAGTCGACCAATTCGACCACATCGCCGCGCAATTCCTCTATCAACATCGGCTCATCATATACCAGCTTGCCACCATTAGTTCTAGGTGATGCAATCTGTAGGTACATGATGCATCACAATATCACATCCAGTTACACGACGCTAGCAGTTTGTTTCGGTGCAAAACTCCCTGAGGGAAAGCATCCAACTGATAGCAACTAGGACGCACCACAGCTACCCCATGCCATTAAACACATGCTCAGCACTTCAGCAGTCAGCACACCGTCACCAGACTAATTAAGGATATATACTGACTAACTGTTTTCCGTGTTGTTGGTTCGTCGCAAACAAGCCAAATTAGTTAGTTTATTATAGAATAAGTTTTTGAAGCAGATATTATGATGAACTCAGTCTGAAAACCCTCACAGGATTGTGAAGTCTGTAAGATAAACCATTAGAGCTGGTTATGAAACCTGAGTGCAAGGATGTGCAACTTGCTCGGTCAATGCCTTCAGCTTAGGATAGATTGTTCCAACCCTTTTATTTTTGTGCCGCTACGCTTCCAGTAGCAGAGGCATCAATGATTGATGACAAGGCCCAAATTAGACTAACCTGGAGGTTGTGTACAGTTTCAAAATAACAATGTAGCAGTTGCACTAGAGGAGACCATGTCCGTCACATTTCGTGGGTCCGTTGAATTTGATGAGGGGAGGGCATGGAGCCGAGAAGGTTGGATCACGCTGTTGTTAGAATTCTCACTGTGTGTCGTGTTGAAGTGTATATGTGGATTGCCTAGCCCTTTCCATTAGTTCGGACTTTTGGTTGCGTTGGCAAGTGCATGAAGCTTAGCATGGTATCAGAGCTAAGGTCTTGAGTTCAAGTCCTGGCTTTCGCAATTTATCCAAAAAATTCTCGTGGCCCCCCTTTGTGTCCACGTATAGGCCTCTTGAGTCATATGTGAGTTTCGCACGCCGTCACTCTCTTTCATTTACACGTGTTGACTTGTCTTCACCGCGACACGTGAGAGGGGGTGTTACAGTATATGTGGATTGCACTAGCCCTTTCCATCAGTTCAGACATTTTGTTGCGTTGGCTAGTGCATGAAGCTTAACATGGTATCAGAGCTAAGGTCTTGAGTTCAAGTCCTGGCTTTCGCAATTTATTTAAAAATTGCTGCTGCCCCCCTGTGTCCATGTATGAGCCTCTTGAGCCATACCTCTGAGTTTATCCACATGTTGACTTTCCGCGTCACATGTGAGAGGGGGTGTTGAAGTGTATATGTGGATTGCCTAGCCCTTTTCATCAGTTCGGACTTTTGGTTGCATTGGCAAGTGCATAAAGCTTAGCATGTCGAACCTCCCAATGGAGCTGCTGTGTTCGGCAACTGCCATGTGACGGACAGTGGCGGCAAGAGGCGCATCATCATGGTTGGACGACTAATGCTGGGCTCAGCTTTGATGCTCAATCAGAGATCGAAAACAAGGTTGCAGTACAAACACTCTTGCTCAACTAATTTAAGCTCAGTGTTAGCTGTTGATCCAACATCGGATATCCTCCCCCAAATGACATCGTTGCACTGCACTGGATCTGACAAGGAGTGGATCCAGTCCAGCTAGATGTGTGATGGCACTTCCACATGGATAAGCTCTGTATCTCCCTAATTTCCCTTTTTCGGCATCTTTGTTTCCAAAGGTTGAGAAATTATGTCTTATCTCTTTAGAATTTCTTGCATGAAACTGACCATTGTTTCTTCTTTTTTTTAGGAGTTAAGGTTGTATTTCTGAGGGGAGCATACGTATTATCTTGATTGGGTTGACTTTTGGCTACTGTATTATTGTTACAACTTACCAGCGAAATTGAAAGAGAGTCATGTCTGATAAGCTATTCTGCTTCAGCTGTATGCTTGTAGAGCATTTGTTTTTTCCATCCAAGTATTACTAAACTCTACCAAGTTTTATAGTTACACAACATTAACCTCTTATTGGACTTGGCTGCCATAAGAAGGAAGGATCTTCGACCGGAATCTACCCCAGGCAGGACCTCAACATCGACCTGCAGGTCCGGCCTCTCTCACTCTTTCGACTCCTTTCTTTTCGCGACCTCAAGAAGCTGCACCGGCTCATCCTCGAGGCCACCAAGCTCGTGCAATTCCGACGACTCCAGGCCCAATTTATTTCATGGCCAGTCCCCTTTCCCCTGAGTTTTTCCTTGTTCCTCCAATGGACCCATCAATAAATGCAGAATTCTGACAGCGCTTCTCCCCCCTGTGTCTTGATTGCAGCTCTATCCAAGACTCAACTGGTCCAAGTGATGCACCAAGGGGATTTGCACCAGTAAGTTAGCTAGTTCCCTCGAGAATTTCACATGGATTCCACTGTCGATTCACATGGTGTTTGACTTACTTGTTTCATCCAGATTTCACACTATCTTGCATAAATTCAGTTCTAATTTTGTACGTAATTATTCACGTTTCAAGATTTCAGGATTGTGCAGTTTCATGGTAAGAAAAGAAAATTAGGTTTGGGAACCACTTCTTTGGCATGTTGTTCCAGTAGTTCATGATGATGAGGTCTGACTCCATAATATACTAGCATTTTATTTAAATGCCAATGGGCGCAACAACATTTCAGCATGCAGTTTTTATGCGTTTTCGTTTTTAGCACATAGCTTTTGAGCAAATTGTTTTGACTGTGCAATTTGATAGAGTCCATGCCAACGCAACTCTTGCAATTCTCTGAACTCTTTCTGAATTATACAGCAAGACTCGGTTATAGTGTGGCCTTCGAATCAGAGCTACAATATTGCCTTTCTAGCTCATGGTTGGTATCAGTTTTTGTTATCATTGGTCCTTCCAAACTAAAGCTTAGAGAGATCAAAATGTTACCTGATGAAGAGCCAGGAGTGAACTATTCAACTCATCTGACAGTGTTCCACAGTTTGCCGGAACTTCGTCGGCTGATTTTCTACTTGAGGTATGTAGACAAGGAGGGTTGAATCATGGTATTTGGTTCTCTGCAACCTACACTAATATGTCCTTGGTCTTATTTTACTACTGCTGGTTGTGATTGTGGTTCATAACACTCTGATGTTGAAAGGGTGGATCAGGTCCTGTAGTAGCATGGACAGTCCACTATTTGCAGTAAGCTATCTTTGATTTACGACCGAATTTACTTATGGTTATAGGATGGAACTTTATATTATTTTGCCATCTTCTTTCCTTTTTGAAAATAGCTACAGCAAGTAGCAGCTTAAATTGATGCGAGCAAGTAAATAACGCAATTTTCTTAATAACTTAGCGAAATTCTACAAGGCCTAAAAGTAAAATAAAAAGCAACCCGTAGTAACGCACCGGCACATCATGTGATATTTTTTCTTCTCCCGTTGCAACGCACGGGCATATTTCCTAGTTCTTCCTATAAATGTATCGAGGAGCAAGCCTTTGCGTTTTCTCTGGAAAAAAGATTGACATTTGCTGTTTTCCGAGTTTGTAAACGAGAGAATTGTCATGATAAATTGCAGCTTTTGCAGAACTTCCGGAAAAATTCTGGTGCAATTTCTGTGAGATCCCTGCCCTACAACCATTGTAGGAGAAGTTGGCACTTGCTGTCCAACATTACTTCCAGAACTTTTTAGGTCCTAGAACCACCTTACAATACCACCATTACTTTCATTATCGAGCAATTCTCATCATTGTAGGAGAAACCTCGAAGGGGAAAGAATAGATACTGATGCTGCTATACCAACTTACCAAAGCATATCCATCCTAAGCTACGGGTTCAGCTGCCGGCTAAACGCGCTCTTCGCCGTCCGTGGCACGTCGTCAAAGTTCTCCACCCCGTTGCTCTCCTGCCACGGCGAGGTTTTCGTGCCAAGGAGCGGTGCCGAATCCTTCTCGCTCATCTGCAAGAGCACACGCCGGTTAAAACCTTGTCATACGCCATTCCAGATTCAGATACTAACGTGTCAGGAAAAGTACAGACCTGGGTGTTGACGGGCAACGTGGCGCCCTCGGTCTTCTTCCTGCTCTCGGAGACGGAGAAGAAGGAGTAGAGGCCCATGCCGAAGATGGCGATGAGGATGCCGGCGAGGTTGCGGAGCGTGAAGGGGTCTTTGAGGAGAACGTAGCCGAAGGAGAGGATGAGGCACGTCTTGAGGTGGCCCAACACCTGGTACGTCACTGGCGACGTCGTGCCGATCACCAGGAAGGTGCTGAAGTTGACGCTCACCGCGATCCCGCACGACATCAGGATGAACACCTGCGCCCAGAAAGTTGGTTCAGCGCAGCTCAATTTTATTCATCTTTTACATCAACAAGTTCAGTTCTTGCTGCTGCTGCACATGTAGTACGTACCACGACTTCGAATGTGTACTCGAACGCGAAGACGTCCTTCTTTGTCAGGAGCTTGTCGACGAAGGGGCCGGTGATGAGCAGCACAGCGGATTGGTACAGGGAGGACTGGTACAGTAGCTGAGTGGAAGACACCTTGAGCCTCCTCTGGATTTGGTTGGTCAGCTTTGTTCAAGGTCAGGGAAGACGACATGAACACGAATATTCAGGGTGCAACTGCAAATGTGAACAGTCTAACAACTAGCTTAGATAGCTTGAGTTTCATGGAGGGGCAGAGCACAAGGATACGATCTGGCAGACACAGGTCGCAGCGATGGTGAGCACTGCGATGATTGAGCCGAGGAGATTGAGCTGGAGATCAGTGACCGATGCGATGCCAACTCCCAGGAGGAGGACCATGAGAGAGGCCTTGATGCTCTGGCTGCACGGTTAATGATTGTGGAGCATGAGAAAGGCTGAACTTGCTACAAGATGATCAGGAAAAAGCCTAATGCGAGAAGGAATCTGAGAAGCACCTGAACTTCTTGCTCAAAAAGATGGTCTCCAAGAGCATGGTGAAGGGTATAATAGCCAGCTTGGTCATCTGTAGCAAGACAAACATAGCAAATCCACGAGTAAGAAAACAAATGAAATGGTATGAGATATCATCAGCAGTTTGGGTGGCTTGCCTGGTAGAAGCCAACTGAGTTGAAGCCAAGGCAAAGGTTGAGGAGGCCAATGGAGATTCCATTGAGAAACCCAAAGGAGATGACAGTCTGCGCGTCGATTGGCTTCGGCTCGAAGAAGCGCAGGCGCTGCGCTATGTGAAGCGTGCAGAAGGTCACCAGCAAGTGCCAGCTCGTCAGTGTCGTCGCTGCAATATCCAAATTTCAAGCACACACAGATCAGAAAGTTCAAAGATCGAAATGTCCATTTTGTGCACTTGATGACAAAAGTGTTGTCGAACGGAGTAAGCAGCAGCAGCACCGAGAGTCTAAAACCCTGAAAGTAGTTGTACTAACCGAAGTAGAACTCAAGGGTGCTCATGAGGTACTTGTTGCAAATAACAATGGCTACTGACGACGTGACCGAGAGGCCCAGCGCGCCGGCGACGCCCATCTGGGAGCCCCCGCCGTCGGACGACATCTCCTCTTCGTCTTCTGAACCGCTTCCTCCCTGTCCTGTCCCTGGTGGTAGATCAAGGCCCAGTTGGTGAATCACAAGCTATATGATATACACTCCCTGGAGTAGGAGCGAGCAGAAGATGGTTAAGTTGACAAGTTTTTATAGCACGGTTATCCGTCAGGGAACCACGTGAGTTCGTCTATGGAAACGCAGCGTTGACATGGGCACCGCAGAAAATCCTTGCCACGTCAAGCAGTAAAACAAATTAAAGTTTCACGTCGCTTCATCTTTATAATACTCACTAAAGACCTCTTCCAATGGATAGTTGCTTAGATGAGGTGCTAAGCGCATTAAATAGTTTAGCAACTCTTTTTTGAAAAAAAGATGCTTTATTACTTAAAAGGTTTAAGCATTACATCTGGACTCTGCATAACTACGATGCACACAGCTCTCTTCGGTTAAACAAGTTCTCTCACACAAACGAAAATTAAAAAGGCAAAATACAAAGAAACATGTAGAGACTGTATAATGCCTAAAGCGGAGGTGGGCCAATTCTATGATCATGCTACCATCCATGTTGGGTAAAAGTATCCCTCGCCGTATCCTTCAATCATGTACACACTTCCGTAAACAGGTGTCGATTCTCCACACATTGTAGAGAGGACCATAAACAAAAAGTCTCGGTACATCTCTAAATAACCTGTATCAGAGAAACAACTGTAGTCCCGAATGCATTGGTGCTTAAGTTGTTGTTGCTAAGCTCCCTACATTTAATGACTTAGCTACTAAACTCTTTCATGCATTAGTGAGCTTGCTTCTTTAAATGTTTGCTCTAGGTTTGCCCGCTTGGCATTGTTTTTTCTGGGGTCACCAAACCCATCTCTCTCCTCTTAATTATTTTGTCACATCAGATTTTTTATCTACATGACATGCTTAGCACCTGTACAAGATGACTGCTACCACACAACAGTTGTGAGCAACACTACAATAGACAGTGACATGGTAGTGGTCCTTCACGGGTAGTAGTACTAGTACACAGCTGGGACAAGGCAATGGCAGCTTTGGAGTGTCAAATTCTAGTGTTTCATAGTACTACCGATGACTGGTCTGCACATTCGTTGGGTGGTCACATCAGAGCATAGGATGGACTGTTAGGCACATCGACTACCGAAAGATGCTACGGATGCTCCTCCTCCTATACGTCCGAATACTCACTTCACCAGTCAGCACGTGTGTGACAGCTCACTCAGTTACTTAGCACTCATCTAGTACTCCTTGATTTGACCTAGCATGGAAACTCGAATTTGAACGTTAATTCCTCCATGAAATGCTGTCAATAATCGTAAATCTTTGTCGTCCGGAATTAAGGTGTTGATATTGCAATGAGATAGTTGGACCGACGAATAAAATCTATAATTATTTATATTACACAAACATAGAACAATAGAAAGTGTGTACTGCTGGACTAAGGAGAAAACGGCTAGCCAGCCAATTTACGTTGATATATGCAGCACCAGCCAAACAGCTTAAAGTATTCTCAATACTTTCAAAATACCGTGATATATCAAAATTGTGGTATCTTATACCTACATGCAAAAATATTTAAGTTTTTCAGTACTATGGTTTTTTTATACTTCAATATGAAACACAGCCTAAACATTACTCCCTGATATAAGATTTTTTAGATTGGGAGTACTGTAGAAAGTTTGAATCTGAAACTAAAGTGTAGGGGCCGTATCCCGGGTGTTGAATACATTGATTAACTAGGAAACATATGATAGATTAGGAATTATTCTAGTTTGTCTTGTAGTACTTCAAATTGATCATACACTTCTATATATATGCCCACGAGGCTCAATCAATAAACATCAATTCCACCAATCTTCCTCTCTCCCTTCTAACACCGGGGGGATCATGCAAGTTCCTTAACCACGTTTACTTAATGTACAAGTCAAACCTTAGCAGAGAGAGGCAGAAAGTACAATCTCCAGATCGGATGTGGCAGAACTAGGGATCCAATGCTATAATTATACGACGAGGTGAAACAAAGGGCAAGCAATAAATCCGGTCGCGCCATTTGCTCCGAGAAGAAGGCAATTAGAGTTGAACGTACACTACCCCTCTCCTTATCACCCGGAAGAAGAAGAAACAGGCAGAGATATTTCCGCCTGGACGGACGGTGACACCTGCCAACAATTGGGCTCATAGTAGGACAAATGGGTGGCCAGTTCAGCGCGCCGCCACGCCAGCCACCGATGGACGCCACGTGCCAGGGCGCAGTTGGTTCGTAGCGTACACTCGAGCAGGCACGGCGCCGGCGACGAGGCCAGACGAAAAGTACGCGTCCCGTCCGTAGCAGGCGGCGGCGCTGGCTCTACTCGTCCGGTAACCTAGCGGTGTAGCAGTGCTGTGGCAGGGCAAACACCTCGCGGATTCTCCGGAGAAGCAGCACCGCTGCCGCCGCCGCCGCAAACGGGGCGACTGATCGGCGCTGCCCAGACGAACAGACGATAACCTGGCTTCGGTAGACGAAAGAACAGAGAGTACCTTCCCTTGGATCGGTCGTAAGCAGCTGCACTATATTGCTACCATAGGCGGCCACGCAGCAGATAAGATTGGAAAACCACCCGGAGAAACGAACAGACGCACGTACGTACCTCTCGGCTCTGGCTCGATTAGTTGGCGTGATGCCGGTCCACCTTCTCCGCCGGGCCCCGAGATCCTCCGCCCAGGGAGATGCTGCGCCTCCGCTGAGATTTCCCGATCGGGAGTTCGGGACTAAAGTGGGGAGGGAGAGGAGTCGTCGAGTTTCTCCGCGTGTCTCCGGGGAGGAAGAAATGGTTCGCCTTCTCAACGGCAGTTTGTTCGTGGGCTGTGCCTAGCTGTTGCTGTTGGTGTGATCAGTTGGGTGGAAAGTCTTCGAGAGACGGGGGAGGGTAGGTGGTGAACAACTCAGGCGCCCGCCCGCCCCGCCGTCACAATCATCGTCTGCTCGTCGCTTCGCCTCCGACGCCCTCACCCTCTAGGAAGTGGGGCCCGCCTTTGGTACACGCATCCGACGCACGGCTACTCTCCGGGTTCTAGGAATTTGGGTCCGTGGAAGAAATGTGCCCGGCATTAACTTATTGCTTCAAATAAAGGTGTAGAGTAGGGTTTTTTAAAAACACGAGAGACGCCTCTACATACGTGCATACACTCATCCCTATGAATGCACACACGCACACCTTATCCTATGAGCACCTCTGGGAGATTGAATCGGCACATCATCTTGATAATGAACCGGTATATTTACTTAATGAAACGCAAGTCTGAAACATTTTAAAAGTTTAAAAGAGTTTCAGAGTGAAGTAGAGAATCATCGTAACAAGAAGTAATTTTTATAAGATCTGATCGTGGAGTTGAACATTTGAGTTGCAAGTTTAGTATGCATTTAAAACAATAAGGAATTGTTTCACAACACACGCCACCTGAAATACCATAGCTTAATAATTGTGGTTTGGCAAGAAACCTAAATTGTCGTTTCTTAACGTTTGGGGATGTGACGCTTATGTCAAGAGGCTTTAGCCTGATAAGCTCGAACCCAAAGCGGAGAAATGCGCCTTCACATGATACCTAAAGAGACCATTGTGTATACTTTCTATCACGGAGCCGGGGGCAAGATCTTTGTTGTCAAGAATGGATCCTTTCTAGATAAGGAGTTTCTCTCGAAAGAAGTGAGTGAGAAAAAGTAGAGCTTGATGAGATAATCGTACCTTCTCTTGAATTAGAAATTAGCGCAACATAGAAAGATGTTCTTGTGGTGCCTACACGAACTAGGGAGGAAGTTAATGATAATGATCATGAAACTTCAAATCAAGCTACTATTGAACTTCGTAGGTCGACCAGGACTTGTACCGCCCCTGAATGGGGTGGTAATCCTATCCTGGAAGTCATATTGTTGGACAACGGTGAACCTACAAACTATGAAAAAGCAATGATGGGCCTATATTCAAACAATAGCTAGAGACCATGAAATCCAAGATAGGATCTATGTACAAAAACCAAGTATGGGGCTTCAGTGGACTTACCCGACGACCGAAAGGCCATTGAGCATAAATGGATCTTTAAGAAGAAGACAGTCGCTAATGGTAATGTCACCTCTATAAAGCTCGACTTGTTGCAAAGGATTTTCGACAAAGTTCTACAATGAGACTTTCTCACCTGTAGCGATTCTAAAGTCCGTTGGGATTATGTTACCAATTGCTGCATTTTTAGATTATGAAATCTGGAAGAAGGTCATCAAAACTGCATTCCTTAATGGTTTCCTTAAGAAAGAATTGTATATAATGCAACCGGAAGGTTTTATCGATACTAAGGATGCTAATAAGGTATGCAAGCTCTTGCGATCCATTTATGGACTGGTGCAACCATCTCGGAGTTGGAATATTCGCTTTGATGAGGTGATCAAAGTCTTTGGTTTTATCCAAGCTTATGGAGAAGTTTGTATTTACAAGAAAGTGATGAGAGCTCTGTAGCATTTCTAATATTGTTTGTAGATGACATATTATTAATTAAAAATAATATAAAATCTTTGAAAAGCATAAAGGGTTATTTAAACAAGAGTTTTTCTAAGAAAGACCTTGGTGAATCTGTTTACATATTGGGCATCAAGATCTACATAGATAGATCAAGACGCCTGATAGGACTGTCAAAACGTACATATCTTGACAAAGCCGTGAAGAAATTCAAAATGGACCAGTTGAAAAAGGGGTTCTTGCCTGTGTTGCAAGGTGTGAAGTTGATTAAGATTCAAAGCTCGACCACGGCAGAAGAAAGAGAAAGGGTGAAAGTCGTTCCCTATGCCTCAGCCATAGGCTCTATCATATATGACATGCTGTGTAGTGATAACCAACAAGTATAGGGGATCGTTTGTAGTTTTCTTTGATAAATTAGAGTGTCGAACTCAACAAGGAGCTAAAGGTAGAACAAATAATCTCTCAAGTTCTATCGACCACCAATACAACTCTATGCACACTTGACGT